TGCGGTAAACTGTGTTTCGCAAAGGTGTGTGATCCATTACAAGTAAAATCTATCGGTGGTGCCAGGTATTTCTTATAAACTAAAAATGACTATTTTCATTTTCGTTTTGTTTATTTTTTGAAAGAGAAATCTGAACTGCCATTAAAAGTTTGTTGATGCAAGCAGAGAAAGTTGATCAACAATATAAAACGGATGCTTACGGATAATGGTTTAGAATTTATAAAGATGAATTTTTCAAAATATTTGCAAAATTTGGTGTAAAGCATGAAAAGACGGTGCTGTACACTCCGCAGCAGAATGGCTGTGCTGAACGTGAGATGTGAACGGTAATGGAGCTAGGGCGCACAATGATTTAGGCTAATGACATGGATTTGAAATTTTGGGCTCAGAAAGTGAATACCGTAGTTCACGTATTAAATCGTAAAGGTACTAGTACGGTGAAAGAAAAGACACCATATGAGTTGTGGTATGGACAACAGGCAAATATAAATCATCTTCGCAGTTTTGGTGAAGAAGTTTATATGCAAATACCTAAAGAAAAGCGACGCAAACTGGATGCAAAAGCCTGGAAAGGTATTTTTGTTGATTATGCAGACAACAGTAAAGCTCTCAGGGTGTGGAACACCAACTCGCGAAAAACAGAAAATTCGTGCGATATTCATTTTTTACCTAAAACAGCAACTTTCAAAGTTCAGTCATTTCTAGAATATAGTTCGCAAAATCACACCTCTGAATGTGAATCAAAATCTGATAAAAAAACAAGAGGTAAATGAAGATGTAGAAGTAGATAATGAAGAGATATCAGAGGAAAATGTATTTTATGGTACTCTCAACAATGATGACAAGAACAACCACAATAAGAGCTGCATTGCTAGTCGTCTTCGAAGTAAGACTGGTTCGGAACAATAATAACAATTATTATTATTCCGAACAATTGGTTCGGAATAATAAGCGAGGAGTCTAAATCTTTTGAAGAAGCGATGCAGGTAAATGATCGCGCAAAATGGCAAGCAGCAATGAATGACGAGTACAAATCATTAATTGCGAATGAAACATGGAATCTTGTTGAAAAACCATCACATCAAAAAATAATAAAGAATCGATGGATTTACAAATTAAAGCGTGATGCTCAAGGAAATATTGATCGCTATAAAGCGCGGTTGGTTGTAAAAGGGTTCACCCAAGAATATGGAGTTGATTACGAAGAATCATTTAGCCCAGTTGCAAGATTTACTTCTATACGTTGTATTTTGGCTACGGCAGCCGTACGTAAGATGGCTCTTATGCAATTTAATATTAAGACAGCATTTTTAAATGGCAGTTTAGAAGAAACATTTACATGCAGCAACCAATGGGTTACGATGACGGCAGTGGACGTGTATGCAAACTGATAAAAAGTTTATGTGGATTGAAGCAAACATCAAGATGCTGGAATAAAAAATTTACTACAATTCTTTAAAGTCTTGGGTCACAGGTGTCGGAGCATGATCCCTGTGTTTTCATCAGCAATAGTAATGATGGTCCCATAATTATGGCTATTTATATTGATGACAGTCTAGTAGCTGCAACAAACAGTAAACTTATAACTAATTTGATGGCTCAGTTGGAAGCAGCGTTCAAAATAAAAATTTTTGACCCAAATTATTTTTTTGGGGATTGAAATCAATCGAAAGGCTGATGGATCAATTTACATTGGTCAAGAAGCTTACGCTAAAAAGATAATTGCTAAATATAAAATGGAAAACGCTTCTGTTGTAGCCACACCCGCAGACACCGCAAGCAATTTGAGCAATTTTGTACCCGATGCAGAAGTCGATTTTCCATATAGGGAAAAGCGGTTGGCAAGCTTATGTATTTGGCATTAGCTAAAAGGCCAAATATTGCTTTTGCTGTACCTAACGCAAGTCGATATCTTGAGAAGCCAGCAACAACACACATTAATGCAGTCAAAAAAATAATGAAATATCTGAATGGTACGACTGGCATATGAATCTACTATCAGAGTATCAGCAATCACCGCATCAAATGGATTTTCCGGTTCCAAAAACCACAATATAAGAAATCAAATGCACAATTAAGACCAAAATTAAAAACGAAAAGGCTCTTGGGTACGATTTGATCACTGGCAAAGTGTTGAAAGAGCTTTCAAACATTGGTTTTGTTTTCATTAACCAACTCTTTAACGCTATTATTAGCCAAGAATATTATCCAAGTCAATGGAAAGTAGCCCAAATTATCTTGATACCAAAACCAGGTAAACCATTAGAGTTAGTTACATCTTTCAGACCTATAAGCTCCCCAAAGTCTTTGAAAAAACACTTTTGAAGCGTCTTAATAATATCATCCAAAGTCGCTCACTAATTCCTGCTCACCAATTCGGCTTTCGAAACCGTCACTCAACCATTGAACAGGTAAATCCTGTTTATCAATATGCAAGAGATGGTTTGGAAAAAAAAGAATACTGCACTGCAGCATTCATCGATATAACGCAAGCATTTGACAAGATATGGCACACTGGACTGCTCTACAAACTGAAATTGCATCTACCACACAGCTTTTATTTGTTACTTAAGTCTTATATCAACAACCGATATTTCATGGTTAAAAAAGAAGATTATAATACGAAAATCCTCCCAATAACAGCCGAAGTGCCACAAGGAAGTGTACTAGGTCCAACCCTCTACACACTGTTCACAGCTGACTTACCACTTAATCCATCAACGTATACCGCAACTTTTGCTGATGACACAGTGATCATGGCTAAAAGGAAAGACCCAACAATCGCTACTAGTCAGTTGCAAACAAACCTAGACAGCATCCAAGTGTGGCTAAACAATTGGCGCATTAAAGCTAATGAATCTAAATCTGCACAAACCACATTTAGTCTTCGCCTTGGTTCCTGCCCACCAGTCACACTAAATAATAACATACTACCTCAATCCGATCACGTGAAGTATCTAGGTGTTCATCTTGATCGTCGTCTCACCTGGAAACATCATATATTTACGAAACGCAAGCAACTGGGTCTAAAAATGCATTCTATGTACTGGCTTCTTTCCCAAAATTCAAAGCTATCACAGAACAATAAAGTACTTTTATATAAAGTTATTTTAAAACCAATATGGACCTCGATCTGGGGAACAGCTGCAAAATTTAACATAGCGATATTACAGAGATTTGAATCAAAAATACTTCGTTTATCTGCGGCTGCTCCATGGTATATACCAAATAGTACTTTACAGCGCGATTTCCACGTCCCATCAGTGTTTGAAACAATACAAACAGTCAGCAAAAACTACCGTACAAGGCTATCAAATCACCCGAACTCACTGATACACGAGCTGTTATCAGACATCAATTATCCACGTCGATTAAGCAGATTTTCTACGTCGAACTTGCCAAGTTGAACCCCAAATACGTGAATCGTAATTATAAACTCACTAAAATTAAACATTTATAGCCAACTATTTGCTCATTAAATTATTATTTGTAATCATTGTAATCATTAATTGTAATTTAATCTTTAGTGGTGTACACTACTGAGTGTCCCGCACATGTTTACATATCATCTTATTCTATTTTATATTTTATATTTTATATTCATAAGTAATACTGAATTTTCTTTTACAGATTGTGTTTATTATATAATAAATAAAAAAAAAACAAAAAAAAGAGTAACAGCAAACTTTATCTGTGCGGTTACAGTGATGCTGATTATGCAGGTGATGTGCAAACTCGAAGATCTACCTCAGTTTTGTTTTTATGGTAGATAAGGGCATAATAAGCTGGTGTTCTGAGCGTCAGAAGTGTGTTTCGTTATCAACAACTGCAGCAGAATATATTGCAGCAGCTAGCGCAGCAAAGGAATTAATCTGGCTCAAGCTGGTTTTGGTCTGATCTTGGGAATCCAGAGAGGGTGGAGTTCTGCATTGATAACCAAAGTGCAATTCGACTAATACAAAATCCTGAATTCCACAAAAGGACAAAACACATTGATGTACGTTATCATTTTATATAAGAAAGGTGAAAAGGTTCGACTTGAAATATGTGGCACCTGGTGATCAGCTTCTAGACGGGCTTACGAAACCACTTCCAAAAGAAAAGTTTATTTTATTTAGAAATCAGATTGGTTTAAACCCTATCTGTAATATTCTAATGTAATAATAAATTATATAATGAAACGAAAAAGTGGGAGTATTGAATATGTAATCTTTATTTTAATTACATTGGCAACCCCTTTTAAATCAACTATTGTAACTCTTTTTCTCTGTAATTTATTTTTAGTCAAGAAATACACTTTGTCTTAACAAAACGGAAAAGAATATCTGCTCACCTGCCGCTGCAATTAACCTACTAACCAACTTTAATTCTCCTCGATAGTAGCATTTTGAAATTATAATCTCCTCCGAGAGTATCATTTATAAAGAATAATTTCCTTCAGGGTTAGACTTGAAGAAGTGTGATCTCCTTTGAGAAATACTTAGAGAGTATAACCTCCTATTATATGTAGTTGGTAACGTGATATTGCATACTACTCCTCGTTATTCTTTAGTAAGTACCACCTCCTCGTAATTATATAGGAACTATGATTACCTTCTAACGTTGCCATTACCTATTACTATTTTTATACTGTATTAGGGATTTTTGTTTTATTAGCCCTGATATTGTATATGGGATAATGTTGATGTGGACATTATCTATGATTGCAAAATTATATTCTGTTCACGAAAAATAATGGATCCTTATCACCATAGTATCTAATAGTATGTAGCAGTATCTAAATTACTTTTGTATTTGCTTTATGGTTTGAGCAAACGACGAAACAATGGTTGGCATAAATGTGTTTCCCTAAAAGTTAAAACTATTTCTAAAACACATACATTTCAATTCTAGAAACTATTTTTTATAAATTTTAATTTTCATTGTGTTACAAATTATTCACCTTAAGTTTCATTCATTAAATTCTGTAAGAGTAACTGGTTTAAAAAAAAAACAATATATATATATGCATTACATATTTTATTTTTAATTACTGAAATAAATTTTATTGAGTTGAATATTTGTAGTCAGCATAAACACCGTTGAAACGAATCACCCATCCCGTTCCATCATAGTTAATGGTCTTATGAAAGTGTATAGTAAGAAAGCTGTGATTGCTGACATAGATTTTAGGATGATCCTTGAATAAAAATTAAAATTTAAAATTATTAAAAAAATGACATAGTACTAACCTGTATGTTTTTGTAAAATGGTAAGTTCAATCTAAATATAGGCAACTAACCGGTTTTGCACATTTGGTTAAACAGGAATGCCAATTTTGTAATCCTAAATCTATTTTAACTGAAGTTATTTCAAATCTCTACGCACCAAAATAAAGAATACAGATATATTTTTTTTTTGTAAACTTAATTTTATTATATTCAATCTATTCTATGCTTGAATAATACCTTCTGCTCAAAAAGTACGGATTTTCTAAATAAAACACAAATTTAAATTTTATTCCAAATTTATTTTATTTCCTTCAAAATATGCTCCTTCTGAAGCGATACACATATGCCAACTCTTAACCCAATCTTCCATACACTTTTCATAGGCCTTCAGCGAATTCTATTTTACCGATTCAATCGCCACAAAACGCTGAGCACAAAGCGGCAATTTGAGTTTCGGGAACAGTAAAAAGTCGCACGGATCCAGATGTGGCGAATATGGTGCCTGAGCGATGACAGTGGTGCCGTGTTTTGTCAAAAAATCGCGTACAACAAGAGCTGTGTGCGATGGAGCATTGTCGTGATGTAGAGTCCAATTGTTGGCTTTCCACAAATCTGGTCTTTTCTTACGGATGGACTCACACAAATGTCGCATAACGCCGAGGTCATTTTCTTTATTGATGGTATGACCCTCTGGCTAAAATTCGTAATGAACAACAACAACACCGCGGTAGTCGAAAAAAACAGTGAGCATAACTTTAATTTTCGAGCGACTTTTGCACGGTTTTTTGTGTTTTGGCTCGTTTTTGAAGCGCCATTCGCTCGATTGTTGACTGGTGTCGACGTCATACTCATAAACCCATGTCTCATCACCTGTTATGATGCGTAGAGTCGTTTCCATGCTCAAAAATCATTTCTTCACACACGTTCTTTCGGTATTCTTTTTGCTAAAAATCAAGATGTTTCGGTACAAGTCGAGCTGCAACGCGTCTCATGCCCAATATATCATATAGTATGTGGTGAACGGATCCATTTGAGATGTTTAAGTCACGAGCAATCCCCCTTTCAGTCATACGACGATCTTCCAACACAATTTTCTTGATTTTTGCCACGTTTTCTTAGGTATTTGATGTTGATGGACGTCCAGAACGAGGCAAATCTTCGATCACTTTATGACCCTCTTTGAATGATTTATACCACTCGTATGCCTGTATTCGTCACATAGAAGAGTTCCCGTAAGCTTTCTGCACCATTTTCAATGCTTCAACACATGAAATTTCTTTCAAAACACAAAATTTCGAACAAACTCGTTGCTCAACTGAATTTTTCATAGTAAAAATCGCTAAATGCACTTGAGGTAGTCTCACGTTAACAGCTGCTAAAACAAATTAAATGACAGATGGCGCTCAAATTTGTACCATATGTCCAGAAAGGGTGTACCAACATAACAAAAAAAAATTTTTTTGAAAAAGGTCTATTACTTAAGGAGTAGTTAACAAAATCCGTAAGTACTACTTGTGGCAAAAAAAATATTTGACTGGCATGCACTGGACTACCCAGTGGTGATCACCACCTTATGAAAAACTACAATTTCTAGAATCTACTCGGCAAATCAGAAGTTGCGAAGCGTATTAGTCTAGGAATGTTAAAAGTATGCCTCGTTAGGGCTGCGGCAAGGGGGTTAGGGTGAACTACCAGTCGTGAGTGATAGTTGCTGCTTATCTACTGTATTGACTTGTTCACTGTAGAGATGCCAAGATCATGATGTAGGACGTCATTCGGAATAAACCATGGGGCGTCGGCACAGATACGTTATATTTTTGATTAAAACCTCTGAAACATATCTAGATTTGACTTCGTTGCTATATCCCAGATGGGTATACCGTATGTCCAGATTGGCTTTAAGACGACCTTGTATATAAGTATTTTGTTTTGTAGCGATAACTTGGATTTGGGATTAAGTAGCCAGTAAAGTGAGCGTAGCTTTAGTTCTAACTGCTTCCGTTTTGTAAAGATGTGGTGATCCAATTCACACGACAGTTAAAATGTACACCTAGATATTTGGCGTTTTCAGCTTGCGACAATTCACGGCCATTCCGTCTAACGGAAGGGCAGGTACCATGACGGAGTGTAAAGATAGTTTGAATTGATTTATTATCGTTGGCTTCAATGTGCCAAATTTCTAGCCATGCGTTGACATCGTTCAGATTACTTTGCAAAAGTTGTGAAGCTACTACAGGATCTGCGTGTTTCGCCATCACTACAGTATCATCCGCAAATGTTGCAGTGTATGTTTTAGCGCTGAGTGGGAGATCTGCTGTGAACAGAGTATATAGAATAGGACCCAACACACTTCCTTGGTGAACTCCAACCTCTATCGGAAATAAACAGCTATTCATTTTAACCATAAAATGCCGATCTAGTATGTATGATTTTAAGATGGAGAAGTAGCTATGCGGGAGTTGTAACTTCAATTTGTAGAGAAGACCGATGTGCTATACTTTATCGAATGCTTGTGTTATGTCGATAAAGGCTGCTGTGCAGTATTCTTTACTTTCCAATGTAAGTCTTGCGAAGTTGTGGACTCTATTTACTTGTTTAAAGAAAAGGGGTGGCCGTATATTATATTGGGCTACAACCATTCTGCGGTCCTTTGTGGAGCTTTTTCAAACTTAAAACTAATGAGTGGCTGATTGGAATAATACAATTGCCTGCAGACAAGCCAAAGAATCCATGGCGTTTCGATCAAAAGCCAGAACTAGGGAGCTACTTATGCTGAACAGAAGTGGTATCCGACTTGTCACAGGATTTCTCACTGGGCACTGCGGAGTTAAAAAGCATCTATCGAATCTAGGTATTACAAGAGACGATAGCTGCAGATTTTGTTGCGAAGAAGAGAAAACAGCAGAACACATTTTGTGTCACTGTGATAGTCTTGCCAGACTCAGACTTCGGTACTTATTCACTGCCTATCCGGATATAACGGAATTAGGCAACAGCTCTCCAAAGGATGCAGTGACGCGGTGACAAGTTCCCAACCTATTTTAAAAATCTAATCTAAATCTACTTGTTCAATAGTAGAGTGGTGCTTGCGAAATCCGAATTGCTGGTTGGGAATCAGATATCTATTTTCGATAATTGTCTTTAGACGTTTTAGGAATACTCTCTCAAATACTTTTGACAACACAGGAAGTAAGCTGATAGGTCTATAAGATGTTGCAAGTTCGTCAGGCTTATGGGGCTTTGGAATTAATTTGATTTGGGCGACTTTCCATTGAGCTGGATGATGTTCACAGATGAAAATTACATTGAACAATTGGATTATGAATTCAGAACCCACATCTGGTAGCTCATGTAGCACCTTTCCAGTTATCAGGTCATATCCTGGAGCTTTTCTGGTTTTAATGTTGTTTTTTATGACCCACTTTAATTCACGAGTCAAAGACCTAGAAATAGGAAAGTCTAATTGATGCGGCATGTGAAGAAAACCTTCAACTTCAGAGTCGTTCAGATTATTTTTAAAGCAGCGTGGCTGAAAGACTTTACCAAGGTGTACTGCAAAAGTTTTCGCTTTATCAGCATCAGTTTTAGCCCATTGCTTATCTTTATTGGTGGTATATAGTTAAGTTGAGTTGAAATGAAACGCACTCTTCTGCAGTACATTTATAACTGACTTTATTTGTTTCTCAAAAATCTTAAAATCTAAAATTATAGTAATTGTCTTAAAAACTTAAAGAGAGTTTTACGGTATAATTATAATTAGGTGTGGTTCACACACATATTATGATATAATAATGTATAATTATGATTATGATATATTATGTATAATTATGATTATGATATATTAAGTATATTATAATATATGACACCCTCACCCCTACATTCAACAGTCCCTGTTGAACGTTTATTTCAATTAATCTAATTAAATTACAAAATCATATTTAAATTTTAATGTTATTAATTATTATTATTGTTTTGAAATGTAAACTTTCGCTTTACTTGTGTTTTATATATTTTTTTAAATTTGTTGTTATTTGATAATATGTAATTCCCTTCTTTCCTGTAATTAGTAATTCTTTTATATTTTGGTTGTGACTTACTGACTCTATTATTATCTACAAATTGATTTTCAAATTGCTCGGTATTAACATTGTTCTTTTTTATGTTTATTGTCTTAATTTTGTTTACTTTATTTTTATGTATTTGGTCAGATAAGTTAAAAAGTTCTTCTTTAGAAATTAAATTATTTATAAGATCTATAGGTCTTTTTTTTGTAGTAAAATGTATAGTGTTATTGTATAGGGTAATAGATTTAAATACTTTCTCATTTATACCATCCTTGTTGTCTACGTCGGCGTTAAATAACCTGATATGTTCGTTCAGAGTGAGATGTAACGTCTCTATGTCACTATTACCTGATTTTTTATACGTGGTTGTAAACCTAAAAGATATGTTATTTTCTTTAAAGAATTCTTTTAAAGATATAATATCTAGTTCATTATCTGTGACTATATTTTTAGGTTTACCTAAATATTGAACTCTCATTTTGATCCCTTCTAATATCGAGATCCATGATCTGTCTTTCAAAGCGTGCGCTGTTGCATACTTCGTGAGCTTGTCAATACTGGTTAAGTACATAACATTTCTTTGGGGACACCAAATATCAAAATGAACGATTTCATTGTGACAACGTGGAGTTTCTATTATATTAAGGCAGTGTTTCAGTGGCTGCCTATCATATTTGGCCAGATTACATATATCGCAGTTATTGATAAATTTTTGGATTGTTTTTAGAAAATCAGGGTAGTAATACTTTAGTTTCAGCTCTGAAAATATTTCATTAACACCTCTATGATTATTTCTAGCATGCTCCTCTTCGATTATATTAAGTAATTTGTCCCTATCAGTAATATCTTCCAGTAACGTGTTCGATTTTAATACTCGTAACTTGGTGTTATTTGCAAAGTATTTT